AGAATTTTCTAAGCCTTGTTGATTGATGATCAAACTTGCCAGTTTGTGTTTCAATATCCAATGTAGTTTCTAGGAATATTTTAAGAATATAAAATAGTTTGTTACTTTCAAAACAAAAATAGAGTATGTTTCAACAGTAGGATGGTCTTATGAATTCATACCTGTGCTATAATCTTTAAATAATGTGATTTCTTCAAGACTTTTGAAGAATTGAACTTAATGACATTCATCTGCAACCCTCCAAGAAAAGTGTATCTATCCTTAGTCAAGATGTTCTATTGAAATATCTACTTTTTTATGGAATTATATACTCTGAATTAAGAAAACACAAGATATCTCTTTCTTTGGATGATATTTCTTATATTTTGGATCTCACTTCAAGCCAGATGAACCAGAAGAGGGTGACCACTACATGTACAAGAGTGTTGCCTCCTCTTTTTTATTGAATCCAAAATCATTGGTATCCTCTCCATTCCTTGTAGGCTATGTGAACTGGATATTGGTCTAATTAATTATGTTGTAAATTATATGCTCTTTTCAAGAAAAAGCAATTTCGACCACTTAACCAGGTCTGATATTGACACAATGTGGATGTTTGCCAATAAGATTGAGAGAAACTGGAAAAGTGAAATGATTCAACATATTTTGGGGAGAAAAAGGAAATGAATATACTTGTCATATGGTGACTTGGTCACAAAGATTCTTGAACACGTCGTGTACAATTTTGAAGAAGAAGAATTTGTGTAAGATATAACAAAAATAGAAGAAGCGGTACTAGGGATGATGCAGTACAAAATTTTCAACGGGAAAGTAATTCAAAAGCCCTCCAAAGGCAAGAAAAGAAGTGCGAAATAACAAGATCAAGAAGCTCTCATGAGTCTAGAAGATTTTTACTAGGATGTTCCCGAAACACCCTTAGCTTAAGAACTTCTCAAGTACCTCATTAAGAGACTAAAATGGACTAATGATATGATCAACTTCATGGTCTTTCACTTTGCTCAAGACTTAAGAGATTTATCTCCAGGGATATTCACTAATGATAATGAGGATATTGAGGAGCAGTCTCACTTATGTGTCTTTAACTTTTAAGTGAGTTTAAATTTCCTCTTTTTCCTGATTTCTAGAATCATTTCAATTCTCGCATTTTCATGTCTTATGTATTTTGAATTATAATATTTAAATTAATAAAGCAATGTTTTTCCCTTCCTTAATAAAACATGTTTGTTCTATGTGAACTATGCTTTTGCATATTTACTTTTATTGTCTAGCAGCTTTATCCGCCTTTATTATTAAGACAAATAGGGAGGAATATACTCTTAGGAGAAGTAAAGTATATTTGTACTAATGTGAGGGGTGTTTAACCACTCCAAATTTTATCTAACTGCCTTCTCTTTTAGCACTTCCCTGAGAAATGTGATGTCATCATCAAAAAACCGAAGAATGTGGATCTATGTGCTTCTAGGTATAGTTAATAAGTGATTTGATAGGGTAAAGCTTATGGAAAGCTAGTATGAAAGTCAATTAGTGTATGGTTAATTTTGATAATGACAACAATTGAAGTTAAGCAACTACTAAAGATAGCTCAAACGTTCAAAGATGCATAAGATGATTAATCAAGTTATTCTCTCAAATCAAGCAATACAACTATTTAAAGTCAATATAGTCATAAGATTTCTAAGTGAAGACTAAGGTTTCAAGGATCAAAAATGGTTTAAGCTTTTAAACTCTCAAATGATGGTAATCAACATAAAAATATCTCAAGCCTCATCAAGAAGACTCAAGGTTCTTGTGTGACGCTATATTCACAAATAATGGCGTCGAGACTTGAAGCTTTAGAGTGTGAAACTTCTCATGGTCATGTATGTCTGAGTAACCAATGTCTTATAAAGACACAAGGGCGTTTTGTAAGCAGTATGACTAAATCACACACACCGACTAAAAACATTTGAGAAGTCTCTCTTTTTTTTTTTACTTAAATCACAAAAAAAGTTTTTTATGCCTAACCATTTGATTAGAGGAGTGTTAAATTGATTAAAAGACTTTTTTGTAACTATTTAATCAATTGGATGATGCCTAAACGAGTCTATAATCGGTTGTAACCGACTTTTAATGGTTGGTAATGAATCTTTATCAAAACCTTCCATTTTAGGCCTCAAGAATCAATTATTTGAGTTTCCTAATCGATTAGATGAGTCAATTGTTCCATGAATTGTTTCCAAATTTAAACCACATTGGTCTATAAGTATAGAGGTTATATATCACTTTTTCACATCCAAAACATGTGAAAAACCTCATTTTTATTTCTCTCGCTACCTCTCTAAATCTTTCTAATTTTCTCACATATTTTAGCAATAGTTATTTGAGAGTGTTCTTGAGTTAATTAAGGAATATTGTTCTAGGTGAGGATAAAATTGTAAACTTACCAAGAGCAAATATTTCTCTTGAGTAAATAATTCTTCCATAAGAAATTATTATTTCACTTGAGAACTAAACCATTTCACTTGAGAACTAAACCATTTAAAAAGCCATTGTTTGTATTTAGGATTGTCTTAGAAGTCCCAGTCCAGTTCGTGAGTTTCTTCATTGAAGAAAAAACTTAATTAGTCTGTGTAAAATCTCGCTTGGTTCCTAAGACAGCCTGGTGTAAACAACTCAATAGGTTTGAGATTACACCGGTAAAAATATTGGTTCGATTATCAGTAGAAGTCGGTTCACTCTTGTTTATGGAGTCACATGTCCAACAAAAGACACTGAGTCAGTTCCATTATCATTAGAAGTGATATCAAGTACCACATTGTACACCTCCTTGTCCACAAACTCCAAATCCACCTTTCTCGTAGCGCATCTAAATGCTTCCGCATTGTGTTATCACATTGCATGTCTCTTAGAAACATTTTTAGGGGAAGTTATCATTCCCTTCTCATCACACTCACGAATCAGAACCATTCAAAGAGGAAAGAAACACAAAAACAATACTTAAATTATGAAGAAAGGAAGGAAGTTGTGACGAGAAAGACTTTGTTGCGGGAAACTTCTAGACGCAGAGTATGGATGACAATTTGACTCGTCCCTTGTGGGTACCCGCAAAATTACTCACAGCAAACAATTACCCACTAAAATAATAAGGTATGGACGCGGACATGGGTACCTTAGTACCCGCCCCACCCATACCCACATTATATATATTTATGTATTTTTATTATTATATACACATGTATTTTTAATAATTTAATTAAATACATTACTATTAAATTTGTATGCATTTTAATATAAGTGTTTGTTTATTTCTTAACTCAACCATAACACCCTTTAATTTTTTTCTAATGTTGTTAAAAATTTAAATGACATGATAAATTATAACTGGTCAATAATTTTTTATTCAAAATGCAGATAAACGGATATGGGTATTTAGCTACCCATAAAGTACGGGTACGGGCGCAAATGTTTATGCCCACACGGATATGCCTAAACCCTATCCATTGTCATCCCTAGTAGAACTTAGGGTACACAAAAGGTCTTCTATGCGAAAGGCTAAAACACCCTAGTAGTAAGATGTAATTAGGGGTGGCAAACGGGCATGCCCGTCCCGTTTAGGCCCGCCACGCAAAAGCCCGCAAAATAAGGGACGGGGCGGGGCAGCCATCATTGAGGGTACGGGTCTAAAATCTAGGCCCAGCCGTCAAAAAAGTGAGGGCGGGGCGAAGAAAGCTCGCGGGCACTGTACCTTTTAAGCCTAAAAATGTAAAATTTTATGTAATTGCTCGTGTCCGCAAAAGCCTGCGAAAAAAACGGGACGAAACGAAATGGACACATTAGAGGGTGGGGACCTAAATCCTTGGTCCACCCCCCACTAAAGTGCGGGGAAAACGGACATGCTCAACAGACCAGACCCATTTTGCCACCCCTAGATGTAATGATGGTAGTATGGGCATTAAAAGTCCCAATAAAAAAATAATCATGAGACATTAAGTCACTTCTTAAAGCTCCGAGACCAAGAGTTCGATGATAGATAAATAGTTCGTCAATGCGGGATTGAAATTGTCGGATGACCTTTACTCTTAAGCACTTCACCCCTAAGGACCTCATGCTTGGAAGACTGAAATTTTCAAAAAAATTTCAATGGTCGGATATGGAGCCTGTCAAATGACATAGTCAGAATACTCGTATGTGATATCCCTGAAGCATTTCGTCCCTCTAGACCTCTTGCTTGGAGGACCGCGTACATTCTAAAATATGGGTGGATTAGGTTGTAACCAAGTCAGACATTGTCATATCCAAAGTACGTCGTGACATAGACTGCCCGTGTGCGAGAAAATCATAGCCCAACATTTATAAACATTTATCAATAGGATCAAACATGTTACCTCGCACAATGATCACCGTTTGAATGGCTATGAATGCTTATTATACCACTTAAATGACATTTAAGCCTTGGTCCTGAATCATGAAAAGAGAAGGAGTAAATAACAAGTATGCAGCAAATCAAGAAAGGACAGATTCAATTCTTACAAAGAACTCACTCACTCTACCCTTTCTAACCAACATGAGGAGCTATCCAATTAGTGTTCCTTGCGTGCACAGATGCCATAATATAAGATCATATAATATAAATATTTGACCACACTTTATTTATTTTTAGAAACATTGTATAGTTTCCTTAATAAAAAAATATAGAAACAAGTCTTCCCCTCTGATTGAATTTCCTATACATGTCTGATGTATGTATCACCAGTTTTTCTTCCTCAACATAGTTTCTTAAGTTCCACAACATACTATAACAAGATGCAAAATCAGGAAGAGCTGAAACAATAAATCTAAAAGCTCTGTACATGATATCTACCCTGAAGCCTGAAAAGCAGTAAAGGCACCGAGAACCAATAACCAGGATGAAATACACTAATTCAATAGCAGAGTACATAGTTAATTTTATCAGTAATACACATCCATTCACCCAAACAGTAAAGGTGATTCTTTTTCTTCTATTCAGGGTCCAAGCACAACTAGCTCCAGCCCACTAAGCCTAACCTATCAGCAAGATTGTACATAACCAACTGATCCCACACAGGGCCAAAGAGGCGTTCCCCTCCAATGGAAAATGTAAGAGCCCAAGAACAAAGAACCGCCGAGAAAAGAGTAAACCCAACTGCAGACCCAACAACATCTGCACAAACATGTCCAACAAATCAAATAAAAGAGGTTTCCATTTACTACATGACAAACCATACAAATAGAAGAAAAGAGGGAAACAGAAACTGTGTTAGGAACAAAAACAGAGTAAAAAAGAAAAATTCCAGTGCAGTTACATCTTGCGTGTGGAAAGGGCACAGATTACTTTTCCTACCAATAAGCATTTGAGACAAAATCAACTGAAAAAAAGAACGTGGCTCTAAAAATATTGAAGAAATTCATCGTATTTCACCATATAAATCACTTAAAACATGTGAATAGAATATAGATTCAGCAATCCAACCACAACCACCAAGACTCAACCCCTCCAAAACAAAGACATAAACAAGCTATGCAACTTTTTTTTGGGAACCATATTATAGGGCCGAAGTTTCCATTTCCATTTAAGCTATTCACATTTCTCAATCCAATATTATAGAAAACAAAAATTATGAAAAACACTAAACTACAATCTTAGTATTTTATCAACTTAAGATGTAGTATACAAAGTTGCATAAGTTCTCATATACAGCTCCTTCAGAGTCTATAACTTATTTTAGGGTATCAAGTGAATAACATCAACAATTGATAAACAAATCAATGCTTGTTACATGCATAACAAATCATCATTGGGTTGAAAAATCAACTCTAAATTTTCAAACTTTAACTTAAATTCAGCTGAGAGAACCCAAATCCTAATAACAATGTTTCTACTAATACGAACTAAAACATAACCAAAAAACATATCAATTTTGAAAATTAAAAAATTAGAAATTTCAGAAGAAATAAGAAAAGTGAAAGAGGGAAAATGGAAAATACATACATGGGCGAATGCGAGGGAAGGAGTGGGAGTGTCGAATAACGGGCCAGAAGTAGAAGCAATTGACGGCCCAAAGAAGAGGAAGAAGTGCGAAACCGAATTTGTAGAATCTTCTAGCGTACTTGACCGATTCTTCCTCCGACAGACCTAGTGAGCCGTCGATCGTCGGCCAAATCGGCACCGATGAAGCCAGCGGATTCGGATTCAGATTAGGGTTGTTGCTGTGTGACTGTGACGCGTCCATTATCTCCGATCTACTCTATTGCTAACCTAAGCGATGACAATAGTATACTCTTTCTTCCTTCTCTTAATCACTTACCTTCCACATGTAAGTTCTTTAATCTTATGTCTTAAAGAAATTTTTTAATGTTGCTAGGTTGTTTTATATTTTAGATTTAAGGAAATTATGAAATTCAAATTAAATTTTTGATAAATAAATTTTAAAAAAATGTCACCACTCACTTTTTATCTTTTTGATAAAAAGAAATTTGATAAGTTTTAAATAAATAATAGAATTGACTGAACTACATCTTCAAAAGTTATTACTAAAGATGACACATAATCTTTGAAGTTTAAGAGTGATTGGTCAAAATAAGAAGATGAAGAAGCATATCGTAACTTTCATGCACTTAATGTCATTTATAATGCACTTAATATTATTTTAGCGCCATCGAACCTTATTTATCCCAACGGGGGAAAGAAAACGATCTAAGAAACCTCAAAAAGTAAAGAACATGGTCTCGCAACCAAATCCTGGGTTCAGGAGTCGATAATGCGAGAGGAAGGTATTAGCATCCCTCATGTCTGTTGTACTCAATAGGATTCACTCTTGTTGTTATAATCAAAGAGTGTGTTTATCTAAAGCCTACTTGCTAACAGAAATGAAAAGGAAAAAAAATAAAAAGAGACTCAATTGGACTTTGTCTTCCTATGCATACGTATTCCCTCGTGCAATGGAAAATTCAGAGTCAACGTAGTTCGGAGGACTACGAGTGGAAGTGGGATTGTGCTTGCCAAGACTTCGTAGTCTTGTGCCTACGCATCTTCATTCGGACGAGAATGAAGAAATCAGAGCGTTCGTAGTTCGTGGACTACATATGAAAAGGGAAGGGTGCTCGCCAAGACTTCACCGTCTTGTGCCTACGTATCTTCATTCGGACGAGAATGAAAAAATTAAAGCGTTCGTAGTTCGTAGACTATGAATGAAAAAGAGGGAAGGGTGCTCGCCAAGACTTCGTCGTCTTGTGCCTATGTATTTTAATTCTTACGAGAATGAAGAAATAAGAGTGTTTGTAGTTCGGTCTACCACGGGTGATGCGTGTCTTTTATGAGTGATGCTAAGTTTGCATTCCAGCAGTTAGGGTCGAGGACTGTTTGCGGTAGAACGGAAGTAGCATGCCCTTTCTGAAAAAGTTTAAAGGAAAATCCCGAAGGACAAAATATTTTGCATTTGTTCAAGTGTTTTAGAGAAATGAATTGACTTTATTTGAGATGTGCATTGCACTAAAGTCTATGACATATGATCCAATACTTTGCAAGATCGCCCCCAAACGGGACATATGCTAAGCACTCTAGAAGAAGTAAGGAGAGATTCTCACTCATCATTTCCCATGTATTTAAGGCTCATGACGTACAATACTAATTGTATTTATTAGGTGTTTTTGATGACTTGAGAGAGAGAAGAAAGAGACTCAAAGGGAAAAGAAAAATCTAAGGGATTTCACACCTAGATGTTGTCATGCCAAATGGTCCTATAGTCGAAATGATAAATGGAAAGTCTATCCTAATATTATCATACAAGATATGGACCTAAGGTTGAGGTTGTCGTACTTCGAAAAATACGATCCTCACGATGGACGCGGAAAAAAAAATGTTCGAACAGAGTCGCCACCGAACTTTATTCATTCCAAGAAAGGAATAGGAAAATATCGATAAAACCTTTAAAGATAAGAAAATGGTCATCACAATCAAATTCTAGGTTCGGAAGTCGATTACGTAAAGGGAAGGTACTAGCACCCCCTACGTCCGTTATACTCAATAGGAACCTCTTAATTCGATTTGTGAGAAATGTTAGCTATGTTTGTTTATTTTCTTCCAAGGGAGTAACGAGTAAATGATTCACTTCTAAGGGGAGAAAAATGGATGGTTTTTAATTAGGATGCTCGCTAAGGATTGGGGCCCTTGTGCCTACGTATCTTTCACTTGAGTGAATGAAGAATCAGAGTGTATGTAGTTCATGGGACTATGGGAAAAGGTTTAATTAGACAAAAAGAAAAGGTAGCCCGTTAGGATCTTGCAATCCTATGCCTACGTACCCTCATAAGGCAATGAGGAAGTCAGAGCAATCGTAGTTCGGGGGACTATGGTTTGTTGGTGTCTTTTAACGAATGAGTGTTTAGATCGCATTCTAATTGCTAAATATTGGCTTGTCTGCTTGCTAAAGAAGGCGGAATCACTGGTTTATATGCACGAAGAAAGGATTAAACAATGTTCTTTTGAAAAAGTTGTTTGATAGATTAAAGTGTATTAAGGATTTTAATTAAAAAAAGGGAATTTGATTTGAGTGTATATTAAAGGTTTCGATCGCACGGGGGCGAGAACATGAGGTTTAATTTGTTAAGCATTTTGAAGGAGAATGATGATTATTTGATAAAACGAGACGTCGGCCTCACAACCAATTAATTGGGGCATTACTGGGATGCTAGATCCCAACGACACCTTTTTCATTCGTTTAATTACGAAATTTTGTTTGATTGACAATGAACTCTCCAAAGATCATTCGAAGGTACCATATGGAATGCTAGACTCTAATGGGACTTCTTTGTCCAAATAATTAGGACAAGCATTTTAGGAACGAAATATCGAATAACAAACAACTCAAGGCGTGCGCCCCAAGAGCAGTCATTCAAGAATCCAAGGAATGTGAGACTCTAAGAATTCAGATCTTTCGTAATTTAATTAGAAAAATAATTGATTAAGTGTTTTTTAGAAACAAAAGACGGAACAGAACACAGTGCAAGGCGTGCGCCTCAAGAGCGATCGTTCAAGAATTCAAGGAGTGTTAAACCCCCAAATTCAAGGAGTGTTAAACCCCCAAAACCACTCATTTTATTATTTAATTAAGGAAAGTATTTATTGATTAATCACATTGAAAAATATTTAGTCGGGTTTTAAAATGAAACACTTGGAATTAGAACATTGTTTGATCATTGAAAATGACTCGTTTGCAAGATTTATGCCCCCTTATTTTTCATCGCTTGAATGATTAGTTAATTAAACATAGTTAAGCATAAACAAGATGATATTTAAAGCAATTTGAAGTGAGAAATGTCATGATGGATAATGAGATGATAAACCACACATTTTAATTAGAAACTCAAGCATATGACTCATATTAAACAAAAAAAATGAATTATAAATTTAATTAGAAGCTAAAATAATAATCAGGAAATATTAATTATCTTGACTTATAAAATGTGATTATTATAGTTATGAAAATTCAAGAGAATAATAGTAAAAGATCCAAGAATATGAAATGAGATTGAATATATTTAAAAAAAGACACATGTGAAAGCCCAAACCAAAATCATAAGTAGTAGTAGAGGGGGGAATACAAGCAACCTTATTACTGTACATCTTATCTACAAGATCATTCCAAAAACTATGACTAAGTTCATGTGATCCAATACAGGTGTATTATATCTCACACGCAAGCAAATAAGTGATACTCTGTGTTATACCCCCAAATTTTGACTCTTAGATTTCATCATCATTATAGGAGCATCAACATTGATTATCTAACCTTAACCTGTTTCAAGTTTGTCTTTGTCAAGATACAGGTGAATTAGGTTTTCATACAGTAAAAAATCAGGGTTTCTAGGGATTGATCAATCAAGGTTTTGGGTTGATCCTCCATATAACAATTCTCCATTTCATCAAGGATATCATATTGGATTAATAATGAGTCTAACTTGAGGTTGTCTCCAAGAGAAAGGAAGCAGTGCAGTGCAAAAACCCTGATTAGGGTTTCTGATTGGAAAAGTCAACTATAGTTTGACTTTTGGTTTAAATGGTTTTCCAAGGAATGAGTCATGATCCATGAGGCTCATATAACCCTAGGGAGTATACCCAAGAAGTTTCAAGGCCTCAGGGAACACAGGACACCAATAGTCGATTCAGAGATTTTCGATCGTTCGGTTCGTTTGACTGAAAAGTCAACCCATTACCAACAGGGTTTTAACCCAAAATTGAAGCCAAATATGTTCCTAACATCATTTAATATCTAATCATGAAGTTTTGTGACCAATTGATCAAGAATTGAGAAGTAATCGAAAAGTTGGGAAATTAAGGTTTTGAAAAGGGTAAAGCCATAACTCCTTAACCACACAAGGGTTTTTGACCTTGTTTCAAAAGGAATGAGTTCCTAACACAAACATCAATATTGTAGTACCTAATTTGGTATTTCTAAAAAGTACAAGTGGATTCCATAAATCTTCATGGTTAGAGACAACCAAGATCGACAAGTTGGCAAAAGTTCACTTCGGCAAAACTAGGTTAGCATAAGTTTTTTGATTCCAAAACCTCTCCAAATCAATGCTAATCAAAGCCTAAGCCTCATTTATTATGTTTAAATTTTTAATAAACATTTTTAACATCAATTCCCACGAAAATGGACCAAAGATCAAAGAAAATCATTATTTAATGCAAGTTGCAAAAGTGAATAGTGAAGAAAGAGAAAAAAGGTGGCTACTCTTGTCAAATCATCAACTTTACTTCAACAAGTCACCTCCTACCCTATCAAGCATGATGGAAACAATTTATAGGGCATGGAGAATATCTTATTAGAGTGGCGTAAAGACAAGGATGAAGATTGCATTGGAAAACCCAGAGATTTTCATGATGGAATGTTAAAACTGACAATTTGCTTCACTTTTGCCCATACCATGATCCAAGGCCTTTGGCTATAAATAGAAATAACTTGCTACATCATAAACACACAAGTTCCATGCTAGAAACCAGGTAGAACTCCCTTCCTTACATAATCACAAGTTCTTGTAAAATCTCATTAAGTTTCCAAAATCCCTCAAAATCTGCTTTTGCAAAACACCTTCCAAAACCATTTCCAAACTTCTTCCAACTCAAGAAACACTTCAAACACATAAAATATGATGTATTGGAGCTATCCAAATCACTTTCACACTTATGTAACAAGGTTTGAGTGAGTTGGTCTTTGAAATCTTTGGA